CTGAAGATATTAAGGTTGTGCATACAATTTATGCATTAATAATTGATAAAGTAGCAGATCATATAATGGCTAACTTTATACATACTAGAACGTTAATTAAAACTCTTATGAGCAGATTAGAAGAATGCTTCAACCCTCATACAGTTACACATAAAGTATATGATGAGTCTTTACTATTTAAATGTAATGATCACATTAAAAACTTCAGACAAACACTTGATAAGCTAGAGTAGATATATGCACAGCTTGTAGCAGACAATTTAAAACCTACAGATGCTACATATTGAGTGGCTATTTACACTACAACTCCTTCTGAATATAGTAGTACTATTACAGCTATGGAACAAGCTCAAGATATGTTTTACAATGGAAAACCTGAATCTGAGTATTAACCTATTAAGCTATAAAGACTTATTACAGTACTACATTAAGTGTTTAACGATTTTCACATTAAAAATCCTCTATAATACAATAATAACAAGCCTACAATACACAGACAGGCAAATATGTTTTGTACAAAAGATAAAAAGTGTGGAAATAAAGGAATTAATAAAAATACAAGCAAATCAACTTCTGCATCAAAATGCTACAATTGTAGCAAATCAGGGCACTTCTCCCATGATTGCTGGAAGTCACCAACTCAATCAACACTAGATGCCCAAGCCAAAAAGTCTAATCCTTTAGCTAATACAGTAGAAGCAACAGAAGCAAAGCCTGTACTAGTAGCAACTATAGTACACATAAGCACATATATTAAACAGGTACCAGAAGTTGAAATGATAGAGATACCAGCCTCTCAGCAGGCAAATACTATTGTGAACACAAACACAAACAACCCATTTATGAATTGGGTATATTATAATAATATTTCAGACAAAAATAATGTATTAATAAATAAATATATCCCTAATACAATCAATATAATTGATTCTGGTGCAACAATACATGCTACACTGTATTACTTTCATCTTACAAACGTATGAAACGTATCCCTGGTAACAGTTACACTTGTAAACAAATCAACAGTAACTCTTATAAAGGCCAGAGATATGAATATTAAAATTAAAAAGGGAAATTCAGGAAATACACATAATCCTGTAATTAGTAAAATAACATTGAAAAATGTTTATTATCATTTGGATTTAAACTTTTCACTTATAAGTCAAGTGTTATTATGTAATGACGGTTTTGCATTCATGTTCAAACGATTGGAATACATTATTTATCACAGGCAATACAAAATAGGAACAATTAAACTTGAAAACAACCTATATGTGTTAAGAAACACTCATTATATGAATTCCATGAGTGGAATCAGTGTTTACAATCTACATAAATGTCTCAGTCATATTAGTTATGATTATATTAAACGTTTATTACAAAAAGATACAACAATATTATCTCAAAAGATAACAAACTTTAATAAGAAACAATGTGTTGACTGTATAAAAGCAAACATTGAACAAACAGCACATTCAAAAACAAGATCTTCAGAAATAAGTACAAACTACAGTAATATAATACATATGGATATAATAGGTCCAGTATCCTATGAAGGATATAAGAATATACAATATCTATTAATGTTAGTTGACAATGCAACATGTTGGGTATCTTTATTAAAATTATAGACAAAAGACAATACATATACTCAGTATGTTCAATGGAGCACAAACATATTTACACAATACAGAATACAAATAAAACAACTACAAAGTGATAACAATAGAGTATTTTGCAGAAGATTCTTTCAAGAATACTTAATTAGTCAAGGAACAAAATCCAGACTAACAGTAAAACATACACTGTAACAAAATGGAGTAGCAGAATGGATGCATAAAACAATATTTAAACAAATACATGCCTCTATTACTTTGCAAAACATTCCATTATGCCTATGGGCAGAAGTAGTAATGTTGTAGGCATATATTCACAATAGAACTCCTCAAAGAGTAATAAGATACATAACTCCTTATTATAAACAATACAGACACAATGCTAGTATTGATAACATACACGAATTTGGTCAATACATTATAATACAGAACGAAAACCTATCTAAAATAACAGACAGAGGTTATTACAGACAGTGGATAGGTTTTGATGATAATTCTAAAGGTCATATTACATAGCATGATAGAAAAATAACTATCAAACATAATATACAATTCCTCAACACAAAACCTTTACAAATTGAAGGGGACTTGGAAGAAATCCAAGGAAACAAATTGGATATTGAGGAGGATAACAATCCACCTGAGTCCAATGGGCCAGGCAATGCAAAGTCCAAAGGGCCAAGCAACGAAAACGAATACTGCTGCCAAGTACACAATAGACAGATACATGCTAGAACACAATCCAAAAGAAACAGGATAAGCTTGGATGTCCTGGAAACTTGAACAGACACTCTCTGAATAATTAAACATCTTCAGTATGTTTCTCCCAGACAATATGATCCAAACTATTGCTCTGGAACAGCTCCACATTTACAATGAAACCTTAGTGCAACCTTGGAAGACAAGGGAACACTTTCTGAGAAAGCAAATCACTAACAGAAAATACAAAATGAACAGAAGTTGGCAAACAATATGCAATCCAACGAATCTGATCAAGAATCTGACAGAACTATACAATTACAGTGCTCTACTCAAAAGTGCAAAACTACAGAACGTTTAGGTGAAACGAATTTACCTAGTAAACACTTAAAAGGTTTATCATACATTGATGAAACAAATATTATGAGTTATCTTAATGAATTTAACAATCTACATACAGAAATAATGGCAGATCCATTATTGTATAAAGAAGCAATCAATAGAAGTGATTGCAAGCTTTGGAATAAAGCTATAGATGATGAAGTACAACAATTAATACACTCTAATACATGAGAGACAGTATATCCTCCTAATAATGCAAATGTTATTGGAACACAATTTGTATATAAAACAAAACGTCTAGCAGATAATTCTATTGAAAAACAAAAAGCTAGATTAGTTGTACAAGGAATATTTCAGTGAGACAGCAAAGATTATTATAATAATAATCTATTTGCACCCACTGTGTGTATATCTTCAATAAGACTTACAATTGTATGGGGATGTTCAAATAACTACAAGATACATTAAATAGATGTCAAATCTGCATACTTAAATGGAGAACTTGATAACAATGAAATAATATTTATTAAACCTCCATCAAGTGATTTAATAAAGTTAAAACCTGGACAAGTATTATGATTGCACAAAGTATTATACAGATTAAAACAAGCTGGACAATGATGGTATAAAACTTTATACTGAATACTTAATACAATTGGTTTTACACAATCAGAACACAACTTTACAGTATTCTACACAAAGAAAAACAAATGTACAGTTACAATACTATTAATCCATGTTGATAATATAACTATTGTTACACAAAGTAATAATATTATCAATATGATTAAAAACTCTCTACAATCGCATATAGAAATTACAGACAGAAGCAAATTACATTGGTTACTAGGTATAGAAATCAAACGTAACAGAAACGAACAGACAATAATGATGAGACAAAGACATTATATTGAGAATGTATTAATTCAATATAACTTGCAAAACAAAAAGAATTTACAAACACCTATGTAACCAAATACACAATTAGTTACAGACAATAATCTACCAGAAGATGAACACACATTTATGTCCAAAATACTGTATATGAATATGGTCAGATCCTTGTGATATATTGCAGATTGTACACAACCAGACATAGTGTTTATAACATCTTAACTTGTAAAACACTTAAAATCCCCAAGCATGTTACATTATAATGCTGTAGTGCATTGTATACAATACTTAAAGGGAACCAAAGATAAATGGTTAATATTTGGACAAGGAAACCATAATAATATTACTGGTTATACAGACACAGACAGAATGATGCAAGAAAATAATAAAGCAATATCCGGATACACATTCTTCTTAGGAGAATCACTTATATCTTGGTCAAGTAAAGGACAAAAATTAGTATCCTTATCCATGTACAAGGCAGAAATAATAGTGCTATCAAACAGAATACAAGAAGCTATAACATTACAATACCTAGCAGATGAGATACTGTAGATCTCTGATGCACCTATGAATATTTATTGCAATAACCAAGCAGTAATTACATCTATAGAAGCAGACAAAACGAAATACTTAACAAGAACCAAGCATATTGGCTTATGACACAATTTTATTAAATGTTATGTTGAGGAACAACTTATTAATATTAAGTATGTTCAAACGGATGATCAAAGGGCAGACATCCTAACTAAATCATTACATGTTCCGAAAATCAAACACCTTACAGACTTAATAGGTCTCGTAAATGTTTGAAGGGGACTGTTAACATGTATTACGATCAATGATACAATTACAGACGATACAGTATTAGTAAAATAATTAATACGCATACAAACGGAACGGACGCGGAACTATGATACATGTATCGGATACGCGATACAGGACATGTATCGGATACGCAATAAGTATCGGATATGAGATAATGATACATCGGATATCTAAGACATACGGACGGACGAATAATATAAAAACGAACGACTTATTAACTAAATACATATCATTATCAGGGTCTACGCCCTCATTACTCGTGTGATAACCTAAGAATATGCATTCTAACAACATACATTATGTTCAAACACAGAACCAACTTACAGACATCCTTATGAAAGCACTTTACATCCCTCAAATCAAGCACCTAATAGAACTTATAGGTCTTCAACATTAACAACAGAATATTAGGGCTTGAAGGGGAGTATTTGACACACTGTGTTTTCTGTCTCATTTACTAGTATAGTACAATGTATCTAGTATATAAGGGTGCACATATATGCACATCTAACTAAGTGCTATTCCAAACTCCCCGTTCTAACATACCCTGTTTTATACATTTTAACCGTACATTTTCTACTCAATCAAGAACCACGTTGTATCAATTCGGAAATTCTAAAATCATGCAAGCCCTTCATTTATCGCTGTGAACGACTGCGCGTTAAGTCCATTTAGCGCCGGCGTACGCCTACGAACGAGATACAAAAGGTGAGTCGAGTCGATAACCCTCGCTTCCTCGTTGTTAGGAGAGAAAGTAAGTTGCAGACGCTCGACAATTTTGCGTTTTGGAGCGCTTGCCCCACCGCGGAAGAGACGGCAGGAGAAGTGAATAACGGACGAGAGCATAATCTTGTCCTCGCGCATGTAAGGACTGTCTATGTAGGGTGGCGGCTCGAAACCATCGTGTTTCCAATCATACTCCAGCAAATTGAACATGAGATCATCATCGCCTGCCAGAGATCCTAGTAACTCTAGGATGTAAACCATAGGAAGGGACTCTTCTGTCGAACCCTGACAATCTACTGACAGAGACTCGAGACTCTCACATTCATCGAGGAATTCTCTGAGTGATAACGAGGTGAACTTGAGATATCCTATAGATAGGTGTTTGAGGTTTGAGAGCTTGATGCAATAAGCGTTGTCGAGAACGAGATCATATCTTAGAGAATCTTTGCAATGCGGAGTCTCCAACTTGCCTTGTTCACTCCTGATTGACAGCGAGGTGATGCTCTTCTCGAATAACGTGATAATGTTGCTCACAGATCCACACGAATTGGACTCACTCGCAACGATTGAAAGCGTTGTTACTGGCGGCAAGTCCCACTCGTTCTGGCAACGTCGGAGGACAGCATTATGATACATTTCGTGTGAGTTTGGATCAGGATCGATTATAATTAGCGTCCGAAGAGACACCATCGGAATGAGCGATTGAACTGTCAGTATTGACAGTGGGACGTTGACGAGATGTAAGGTTGTGATGTATGGGAAATGGGCGAGAATCTGTCGAATTCTGTTGTCTTGCTCTTGTAGCTCGGGACAGTAATGATCGCACCCATGTTCTTCGTCGTTGTGAGGTACGATACCACCAAAGGAGAGGAACCTATCACGCCATGTCAGAGTCATCGTAATTTTGGAATTTAATTTATTTAGAAAGAGAGATGACCTACTTTATCTTCGAAGTATTCTGAATAAAATCTGGCAGCGTACCGTCCTCCAATTTCCTGAGAAAGCGCGTATGTGTCTTGTCGCCGATTAACTCGACACCTTGGCGGACAATCTCTCTACACAGTTCCCATGTGGCTCGGCATATTAGGGAAAAGTTCTTGAGGTCCCGAAAACGAGATTGAATGGATTCCAGTTCGTCTCCTGAACCTTGCAAGCTGTCCAGCTCGGAATCGTTCCTAAGGGCATTTGGAGGGACAATTGACACAGCAACGTGGTACCTAAGCTCAATCGGAAGATCGAATAGTCGGAAGGCCATCGGCATTCGTGGAGAACTCGTCCAGGCCCAGGCAAGATAGCGCAGAGTGAAACACGGGTGAGGGAGAGAAGGGTGAATTTAAATGAAACTGTATGTCAGCCGCAGACCACAGGTCTGACACCACCTAAAAGCCGCACCCACTGTATGAGTCACTGTGGCCAACCTGCAGACAATGGTGGAACTATGATTAAAGGTGACCAGATTCAAGTCGCGTCTCACTTTCAAGAGCCACGGGCGTTGCTTTGGTTTCTCCCGTTCGTATGAAAGCGAACCATCAAGCATGAGTCCATGACACTATGTACAAAATTTACAGTAAAAATTTCAAATACTTTTATGGCCATTCTGTCTTGGTCAGCCTGCATTGTCGTGTCGTGATGAGAGCGACAGTCAATAAAGCCATCCACTTATTAAACTTAAAGGCTAGCCGTGTTATTGGTTACTAAGCATGCCTCACCCATTCTTGGTGCTAGTTGCCATATTGGTCTATAGTCCCTATTCATACTTATAGCCCTTTCTTTCATATTTATGTGCATTTTGTACGTCCAATTCATGCATCTCGAATATTCATACTATACATTTTAGAGAAAGTCTTATCAAATCAATGTTTCCCAAATCCTGCAAATTGCACGCTTGTCATGAATGAATTCTCGTCAAGTTCATTCAGCGTCGGGCTACGCTTTCGAACAAGCTTCAACAGTTCGGCTGCATCTATCCTTGCATAATATTCATCGTTATCCTGGAAAGTGAGCTGAAGGCTCTTGACTTTTCTGTACTTGGGAGAACCTTGACTGGTATAAGGGGAGCTACTGTTTTCACTCGAGAAAGTGCCAGAAAAATGGATGACGGGTCTGTGCATAATGTCATCCTCATATCTGTAAGGTCCATGATACCGTCCTGAACCACGCTTCCAATAGTACTCCTGAAAATTGGACAAGAGATTATCATCGCCAGCGAGGGATTCCATTAATTCCAGGATATACACCATAGGTAAGGACTGTTCCAGTGCACCCCGGAAGTCCACTGACAAGGAGTCCATAATTTCACCCTTAGGGAGGATGTATCCGAGTTCGAAAGGAGTGAGCCGGAGATACCCCATAGATAAGTGTTTGAGGTTTAAAAGCCAGGTACAACATGTATCGCCAAGAGAAATAGTGGCTCGTTCGAGCGCGCCGCATGGGGAAACCACCAATCCTCTCTGCTCGCTTCTCAATGACAAAGAGGTAATGCTCTCCTTGAATAATGAGATTATGTTGCTCAAAGACGCACTCGCACGAGAATCTCCCATAACGACAGAAACGTTTGCTATTTGTGGTAAATACCACTTAGTCTGATCGCATCGAAGGGTAAAGTTACTATATGTGTCCCGTGGATTTGGTTGTGGATTGACGATGATAAGCGTGCGAAGAGCTTGCGTTGGAAAGAGTGCCTTGACTGTCAATATTGAGAGTGGGACGTTAACGAGATGTAATGTCGTGATACATGGGAAATGAGCGAGGATACGTCGAATTCTGTCGTCTTGTTCTTGTAACTCGGAGCAGTAATCGTCGCATCCATGTTCTGTAGAGTCATGGAGAGCGAAACCTCCGAACGAGAGGAACCTTAAGAAGTTAGATTTGTTAATATTATCTTCAGAAAATTATACGACCCACTTTACGTTCGATGTATCCTGGATAGAATCCGGAAGCGTACCATCACACAATCTCCTCAGGAAGCGGATGTGTGACTCTTCGCCGATCAACTCGACAACCTGAGAGAGGAATTCTTTACACAGTCCCCTTGTATCGCTGCATGCCATCGCGAAGTTTCTGAGGTCTCGGAAACGTGGCTGGACAGATTCGAGTTCATCGCTGCTCATGCAACAGCTATGTGCTGTGAAGTCTGTCTTCAGGACCTCCAGAGGGGCTATCGATGCCGCGATCTTATACTTGAGTTCGAATGGGATATCGAGAAATCCAGCCGCCATAGTTTCTCGCAGAGAAGAGAACTCAGAGAAAGGTGTGGTGTAGGGTAAGATGGAGGAACTTGGACTGAAGGGATACAAATTCGGCGTGAGACGCTTTGGAATAGACCACTTATTGTATGAGTCATTGGGGGCCACACATGCGTTGGACAAAGGGGCCAGTAAGAATGTGGCTTAAGTGGAAGCCTGGTAAACTGCGAGATTCTTCTGTATAAATGGCTGTTCATTAATCGTTTCCATGAACAGTAGTTATACAGAAGGTACTACTACTTCTGTGCAGTTCAGCCACCACTACTTTTTTGAAAGAATATGCTAATAAGAATATACATTTTGCATCATCTGTACTGATTACTCACTGTCATAAGTTGATTCCATTTTGTAATTGAGAGATGAAATGTCTCACAAGTTGCGGGGCGAGCAATCCACTCTGATTACCTGACAGAAAGGGGGAGGTCGGCTTAAGATACAAAACGGAGGGCGTAAGGCACTGTCTCGGAATTGACTAAGTTATGACTTCACACTAGAAAGGGAGGGATGGGGGAACAGATACAACTCTGTGGGGGCAATAACTTTGCACACCGTATGCCTGATACGACTCTCTGAAGATGCATTATCAAAAGGCTTACTGAACAGAACAGTTGCCTGATCCAGTCCCTTCATAGCAAGGTGGTCGGACGGGTGGGTGTCCTCGCCGTGTATTTGCAGTCCATCGCCTACTGGTTCATCGCAGTCCACAACAATGATGTTGTCATTTTCGTAGTAGGCTTCGTCTGGCATCTTCTTGTATTAGGCAATAACTGTAGCTGTTTCACCATCCGAGACATTGTCCCATAGATCAGTGTTCGGATTCTTGTAATGACCAATAAATGACTGTGCCTCCCTAAGCCACCTGTAAAGAAACGCTGATTGTTTGTGTTTCTGGGGAGCTATACTTGTGCTGCAGGCGCTGATGTCATCCACGGTCAACGGATGTCCTCCTTCGGAAAAATCGAAACTGTCTACACTTCCCTTGTCGAGCATCATGTCAGATTGTCCTGCTGACCCAGTACCACCTGCTTGCGGTGCACCCGATGTCGGGCCTTTGTCAGATCGCTTCTCGCCACGCCAAGGTCTTTTTGCTACAGCATTGAACAACTTTGACCTTTGTGCAATGATGTCACTGTCCCATTGCCTGAACTCATTCTCCAGCCATTGAGATTGGAATTCCGAAATCCTGCACAGAATGAAATAGCTCTCAAGAAGGTCTGGGAGAAAAGTGAGAGAGTAGGGTCGTTGTAAGATTGGCTGTACACACTTCAATGCAAAGATCATAAGTGTCTCAACTAGGAGCTGGCAGGGAACACCAGGAAAAAATTAAACGCACCAGCTCATCGCCATCCCAGTAAGATACATAGAAGGTAAGGCTTTCCTGATTTAAGATAGTTCCGAATACAGGACCATCCTTATTACAGCACAGGGCGCGTCGATGAAGCTGTGCAGAATAAAAGTCCATAGTGATCTGGCGAATTGCTGTGTCCAAATTGTTTGCCTTTGCTTCAAAGGCGGAAGTAATGATGGAAAGCGGGATGCTGGTCGAGTAGCTCCATCTGAGCGTGAAATTATTTGGTACTCCATGGACTATGCTTTGCCAACGTTCTGGAAGATCCTTGCTCGTAATAGTGTTAGCCACAGCCTTGTTAGGTTTGTCAGGTAATACAAGTTCCATTTCAGATCTATCATCAGAGCCATCTAGGTTGGAATGCAAAAAATGGTGTCTTATGAAGTGACTTACTGCCAAACGTGGTCAGAATTAGGGCGCAGCTCGAAGGCAACTTCAATAATGTTGTCTACACCCTTTCTGCAACTGGATTTGTTTTTCTCTCTCCCCTTCGCATTGATAAATGACTTCCACGAAGCACATATATGGGGGAACCATCCTCTGAAGTTGTATCGATCGATGTCTTCGAGTTTCTCCGAACAAATGTTCTCAATCCAAGATCGGATGTCCTCAACTGCGCTCTCGCTTACGTCGCCCATGTATTGCAGCAGTTCTACAATCTAGCAGCCAAGTTAATAATGTTAATGTGGGAGGAACAAGTCTCACATTTTCCCTTTCACACTTGAGAACGTTGGGATATTTGCAGTTCTTCATGAAATCATCAAACTCTTCATTTTCCCAATAAGCCTGTTCGTCGAATGGTCGAATTTTGTGTACTTGAGACCACGTTGTCCATGCCCGAACACTCCTAGCCATACTAAGTCAGTGTCAGTACAAGCTCAAAAAATCATACAGTAGGACTTACTCAGCAGCAGAAGTATTCACAGAGTGATTGGATCTTGAGAATGGCTCTTGAGAAGAATCTATTGCACCAGCATCAGAGTTCACTTCAATAGTTTCAGGTACATCTCTGTGTATGATTTCAGTATGAAGGCAAAAGTATGGACATGAGACACGTACTCCTCTGTCATGCTGCTGAAATACAAGGAGGTATTAATGACAGAGTGGCATTATGGGTTGGATGCAACTCACGTTTGCAGTGTTGGCAAGACTTGGGCCCTACAGTGTAAGATGACTTGGAAATTATGCTGTATAGCAGGAGATGTAATAAGGAACTCACTATTGTAACATTCTTGAATGCATAGCATTAGATAGAGTGGCTTGACTTCAACACAAGGTGCTTGCATCATTGACGTGAAGACCCGGAACGTCACGTGACTCGAATTAAGGCAAAAAACTCACATAGGGCATTTCACAATTCCTTACCTTAAAAAATAACTTACATAATGATAAACATTATTTGAAATTTATTTTCCCATTTTTGACTAGTAAAAATTATAAACAAAATTTGTAATTTTCTTAAGACAAAAACTATAAATTATTTTTAATATTTATCTATTTGTAATATCTTTAAATAAATGGAAATAATAATCTAAAACATAATTTCAAAACAAAATTAGAAATTTTCTTTTAAATTTCTTTATTACTAGTACAGAGGAGTAACAAAAAATTCAAAAGAAAATTTCTAATTTTGTTTTGAAATTATGTTTTAGATTATTATCTCTATTTATTTCAAGATTTTACAAATGAAGAAATGTCAACAATAATTTCTAGTTTTTGTATAAAGAAAGTTTTAAATTTTGTTTATAATTTTTACTGGTCAAAAATGGGAAAATAAATTTCAAATAATGTTTATCATTATGTAAGTTATTTTTTAAGGTAAGGAATTGTGAAATGCCCTATGTGAACTACAACACTAAAGAAAGCCACCTATTTGCCAGTTTGATATCTTATCAGTTGACTTTGTGCTTCAAGAAGGGGATAAAACTCTGAGTAAGGATAGTGGTCTACATAGCCTGGCTTGGTATCAGAACAAGTGACTCATTACTTAAGTATAAGTGTAATTCTATTTATTCTATTTCTAACTTTGGTCTACTCAAATAGTTAGATAGTCAGCAGGTACTTTGCTACAACTGTAGTATTGTCTTATTATTTTGTCATGATCTCCTTCAAGCTATCTAGAAGTCCTTGTATGCTTGCTACTGTATAATCCAGAACTGGATTGCCTTTATATTTAACAGAATAGTCAAACAAACCACCTTGGTGGGGATCAAATTTCTGAAATTCTAATTCTTCAATAATTAATTAGATATAGTTAAATCTTGATTG